GCGCCGCCGCGCTTCCCAAGCGGCGCACTTATCCAGTGCGCCACCGGGCCAGCCCAAAATATTATGTATATCTACATATATAAAAGTTTCACTGTTTACTAAAAAAGCTACAGATCTAATAAAGTTTTTGTCTATATAAACCCCAGGTTGTATCTTATCTGTTTGCATTTTTTTTGCAAGATAGACCAATTGATTTTATTTTTTTAATGTTTTAAAAAAATTTTTTATTAATATTATTTTTTTTTACATTCAGTGATGTGGTTGAGGAGCAGTTGGGAGAGAGGGGGCGAGGAGAAAGGGGAAGGAAATAGTATCAAAGATGTAGGAAAGAGGAAGGGCAGGATCGAGGCCTGTGGCACCCTCCTCATTCCCATAGGGGAGACCAGGGGGCTTCCAGCAGTGACTTGGTCATTGCCAGGCTGGGTGCAAGTGTCAGGGAGCTGATTAACAGTACACGCTCTAGAAGCACATAGCTACACCAACAAAGCTAATCGAAGAGTGATGCCCATGTGCCTCCTACCTTGCAAATTTCGAGAAACTTCTCACTGGTGTATTTCATAGGATGCTCAGTGAAAGTAGCGTAAGGAACCTCAGTGGACCATGGGTTCCAGCGAGACAATAGGGACTGCTCCTCCGGACTCCCCCAGTAGATCCTAAGGCCTTCTCCTTGTCTCCTACAAAAAAAAAAAAAAAAAAAAAAAAAAAAAAAGTTTTCCATTGGATTAGCCATTTCCATTAGATTAAAACAAAAAGAAAAGGTGGCAAAGGAATGTAATACTTCAGTCAGGCTTTATATTGCTGCTGAGATAAGTGGCTAATCTCCCAACTAGTTAAATTATTCAAGGGAATTTAGGAGATAAGAAAAAAGGATGAATTTGGTTTCAAACATGGTGAGTTCAAGGTGTTGTTGAGAATTTCATGTGGAAATGCCTAGTTAGAAATGTGAGTCTAGCGCTCAGGACAGTGGTCAAAACTGGAAATATGGACACTGACCTCAGGCCAACATTCTAATGGTAAGAGTTAAAAGAGAAAGAGAGGGAGGTATCAAAGGGGTGGGACAGGAGTGGGAACAGTGAAGGTGGAAAACAGTTTTGAGGAGGAAGGAGATGACATGACAACAGCAACAGTGTCCTCAAAGCAGTAAATATAAGCAAGAACTGACTGAGAAAAGACATGGGACCTCCCAAATGGTAGGACATATACAATCATTGAGAGGGATGAGACCAATTCGAAGAGCTCTATGATCTCAGCTTCTGTATCTTACGGTCTTTTCTTTGCACACATAATATTCAGTGAAACTGTGTCAGTGAACATGTCAAAGCTTGTAGAGAGACCGTGCGTGCCTCTTCCCACTAAATTCAGAGTCCTAATGCACAACACATAGGAAGAAGCCACTCTGGCATAGCACAGGCCTGGTCATCTGGTAAACCCGAGTGCAGAGCAAGAGAAAGTTAGTTGGGAGTAGTGGAGGGTTAATGGGAGGGAGCGGGTCATGGCAGAGGAGGGTAGCCACATTGAATAACAAAACTGTCATTTCTGTGCCCCCTTCTTTTGCATGTGTCCATCAGAATTCATGGTTTGTGGTTTTAGACGTCTCTGAATGCAAAGAGATGCCTGGAGGTTAAGCCAAGCTCAGGTGCCTTGAATTCGACAAGCTTTGAAACTAAGTTGCCTGTAATTCTAAGCATCTCCATGGAATATCACAGAGGTCTCATTTCTTCTAGAAATTAAATCCTAGGATTTCTAGAATGAAAAACCAGAGCTTAATTGTGGTGCCTGCACAAAGCTGTCACTTCCTGTATTAAGGAAGGATTTCTTTGGGAATGCTATTGTGGTTTCTGAATGTTTATCCATGCAGAGATGTGTATAAACACAATCTCACACATATGCATATAACATCCTATCCCCAATTGGCTGATTCTTGAGCTTCTCCTTACAAAAGGAAAGTAAGAAAAGAGCCTGCCACATTCTGCTGCCGAGCGCTCATATTTTTGATGATTCTTTTTGAAAGCTGACACCTAAATTTTTTTGTACTTAATCCTTTGCCCCAAAAGAAAGAAAAAAGAATAGAAAAAAAAAAGAAGAAGAAGAAGAAGAAAAAGACAGAGGAAAAGAAAAATGTAGTGCATACCTCTAAAGTTCCCTTCCTCACCCTTCACTTTCTCAGCGGCTGTATGTTGTACTGACATTTATCATCCCCCATACTTACATTTATTTATTTTTTTTCTTCTGGCCTGGCAATAAACTCTAAACTCAGTGAATATTCTGTGTGTGCTTGGTTTAATGGAGCATTCTGGCATGAGTCCATTAAAGCAACTTGTACAATGGAATTATTTACTGCTTCGTATGTCAATTTATGTGCTGGGTGCAATTTTACTTTTCTTCAAACAGGATGGGAATCGGCCAAGATAACTTATCTAATAAATGTACATTATATATTTTTATATTGGGGAAACCCCAAATGAAGTTAAAGCATGAAATTCAGAAGAGACTCTATTTCTAAATAACCAATTTTACCATGGCAATGACTTTTCTCAGAGATGTAGTGTATTTCTATATACACAAGTTCAGCCAACCTTCTTCCCTGAACTCCACAGGTAAATGTTGATAGGATAAATCTAAAACTCAGTAATCTCTCCAAAGGTAAAACTAAGGTGGGGCTTCTCAGACCCTCCAGCAAAACCATTAGTACCAGAGTGCTTTGAAAATCTACCATCCTCTCTTCTGTAAAATGTCATTAGGGCAATTGTGGAGAATGTAGATGTCTTTATCACAAGAAATGTTTTATTCAATAATAACATGTGCTTACCACCAGAAAAGTCATGTGAGATAACAAAGTGGAATAAAAAGTGGAATGATTTTGACATAATACTGTGTGACTATGGGCAATATCATTTCTTTTTCAGAATCTCGTTCTGAAGCTGAATCATTTCTCTTTCTGAATCTTCTGAATATGTTTACTCATATTCAGAAAGAATACAAGGACTTTCCCATCTGTCCTTTAAAGTGTTTGCATGGTGTGACATTCCATGACCTCAGTAATTCTGTGTGAATGGTGTAGACAGCTATGGTCATGATGCTAACATTCACCTTGTCAAGAACATACAACATCCATAAGAAGCCTCGGGGTTATTGCTTCTTTAGTCTAGAGGCATTAACTTAGCCCCTCAAAGCAGAACACATCCCTTGCTGCAAAAGTTGCATCGTATTGCCCTACCACTCCTAGGGACCTTTAGGATCTACCCATAATATTTTACAAACATGTAAAAGCATAAATCAGCCATTATTTGGTGGAACATCATTTTAAGGTTCATAAACTATAGAATGTCACAGGTAGAAGGGCTCTTGGAAGCCATAGCTCAGTACCTCCTTTCGGTGAATGGGAAAACTGAGACTCAGAAAGTACAGGACTTTCCCAAAGCATCACTACAGGACAAGGATGAATTGGTGAAAACCCAGGTTTCCTGAGACCTCATTCAGAAGTCTTTTCACCATTCTGGGTCACTCCTACAAAATACACTCAAAGTTAAGGTTCTGCTACAGCACAACACTGCCTTATTTCTAAGGGAAACAAAATAAAAAGAATTGCTCTAAATAGCTTGCCATTATTTATGGGCAAAAAGCCTGCCCAGGGATCCTAGCCAAATATCAGAAAGAAAATCTCTGCCTTAAAACAAACTAGATTTTATGTATACACAATATTAGCAATTACAAGATTGTAGAAAAATAAGGTAGCACTGGAAGTGAAGGGGAAAATTACAAATTATGTCATCAGGGTTAGAGGACTGGGTCTTTCTCACCAAGCTGCTTTGGAAGAGTTAATCAAAGTGGGGATTCAGTCTCAGGTCAAGATTGCCAGCACCAAATTATTAAGCTAAGAAAGAACTGGCAGCTTGCTTCCTGAAGTCATACTCTGGGTATCAACCATGCTTTCACTAGCTCTGTGTCTTTGGACATTTCACACCACCTTTCTGATCTTTAGGTAAAAAAAAATTCTATAAGGAACAAGAGGATAATGGATGGGAAAATGTTTTGCATGGGGCCAACCCTGTGGCTCATGCGTGAGAGTGGGCTGGTGCGCGCACTGCCTGAGCAGGCGCAGACCACACCGTGCCGAGGGTTGTGATCCCCTTACCGGTAAGAAAAAAGAAGAAGAAAATGTTTTGTATGCTATAAAGCACTGTCCAACTAACACATATTCAGTGCCCACTATGTACTGTTAGAGACTTTGCATTTTTTTATTTTATTTAAGCTATATAGTCATGTTTTTGAGCTACTTTATTTTTTAATTGTTTTTTTTTTTTTTGAGAAATGAGTTTTGAGCTTGATTTCAATCTCCCATAAAAAAGTTTGTCAAAGAAAATGAATGATAGTTACATATTTAACAAGTTACACAATACATATAAAGATTATTATACCCTAAAAGAATTATGCAAAGTTAATGTTTGATTAGATATTTACATTAATAATGCTTTGTAGAATGACAGTCTTTTTTTTTTCTTGATTCTTTAAAAAGATCAACAAACTTTGCAAACCTTTATCTAGACTAACCAAGAAAAAAAGAAAGAAATTACTAAAGTCAGAAATCAAGCAGGGGCATGGTAGAGCAGTTGCTTCTTCTATTACGCAGGAGTGTGCTTTGAGGAGAGAGATGTCCTCTTCTTTTACTGGTCTCTGCTGGTGACTTTCCTTGTGTCACTGCAGTCGGGTGCCTGGCAGGCTGCCTGCATGGCAGCTGTGGCTACTGATGTGGGGTTGATTCGCTTTTGCGGCAGCCATGGCTGTGGTGGCGGCTATGATGGGCCACCCTGAGGAAGAGGTGTTTTCTGCGTGTTCCTTGCCTGTTTCCCCAGCAGTGTATGCTGACCTAGGACCCTGGGCATACTCTGTTTCTTCCCTGCTTCCAGAGAGAGGGGGCTGGCCCTCGACTTCTACCTTAGGACCCAGGGCATCCTCTGTTTCTTTGAGCAACTTTAATAGATATAGACGTAGTTACAGGAAATAAGATAAATAATATAACCAGGTCTTCATCAGATCACCAAGTCAAGAACCACTAGTGAAACAGGATTTAAAAAAGCGGGGGGGAGGTTTAAGAAAAACATCGACTTCTACCTTAGGACCCAGGGCATCCTCTGTTTCTTTGAGCAACTTTAATAGATATAGATGTAGTTACAGGAAATAAGATAAATAATATAACCAGGTCTTCATCAGATCACCAAGTCAAGAACCACTAGTGAAACAGGATTTAAAAAAGCGGGGGGAGGTTTAAGAAAAACACCGTAATCATTGGAAAATAAAACCAGAGAAACAAATCTCTAATGCAGAGGACATGCTGGGATGTTTTACACTTGTCTTCACCTATTGAATCCCTCTTCCTCCACCTGATTCTGAGTCCCAGGATACTTCTCATATGTTCAGCCTCTGCTTCCTATCAATATATTGATGTATATATTTCCTACTTAAATACATCAGAAAGACTTCCATTCACATAGCTGAAACTGGCCCTTCATTCGCTTTTCTTCAGACTGAATAAGTATAGTTCCTTAATTAGCTTTTCTAATGAGTTAAAAATAATCTTTTAAATCACTTCAGAGGTGGTTCCCTAGAACATTCCTAAGTTTTCTCTCTTCGATTCCACCACTTAGCACATTCTCTGTGTGGGGTATTGTTTGGG